TTAAGTATCCCTCGACGTGGGTAGTAATATCTTCTTCGGGTCCGGGAACCACTACGTCTTTATCGACCCAGTTACAATCTTTCTTGACCCCTCGGTGATCGAGCAGATGTACCTCGAGACCTTCTCACACCGGCCCGGAACAGGTGAAGGTTTTTCAACCTTAAAATCGGCGGCCACCGAGCACCCGCCATGGATAAACGTGCTAAGAGGAGGCTCCGCCGCTGGTTCCTCGTCGGCCGACCGTGATGTAGAAGTAGTTTCTTTTTGGGAAACTGTTTTTGAAGTCTTCGCCATTTTCTTTTAAATTGAGGGTAAAAGATGAAAAAGAGGAAGCTAAAGGGGTACACTTGACGGTTCTAAGTGAAGACAAGCAAAAGTTCTTACAAAGATCTCAAGAAATCAGGATGCAAGTGCTAGAAAATGTAGAGATTTCCAAGGAACAAGAGGAGAGAAGATTTGAATGTAAAGTTTGAATGAATGATGAAGGAGGTATTTATAATTTTCAAATGACGGTTCAAAGCCAGGAGTGGCCGAGTAACTGACGAACATTTAATGCCATTAAGACGTGATTGATGAGACATTTCGTTCATTTTGTCGTTTATGACGCGAAGTATCGAGGTGAGAATCGGAAGCTCATGTCGTTTCTCGTCGCTTACTCTCCGAAAAATGAGGGGACTATCTGTATACGGTCGAAATCGGGCTTGATTACTACATGACAAATCATACTCGGAATGCGAGGGATTGAAGATCGATCCCGAGTGTCGTCGAATCAGAACACGAGGTTAGAATGTCCGTCCTCGAGAACATTGAGTCCATGATCCCAGAATCGACCCTGACCCTGAGTAAACTCGAGAAAACATTGCCGGTGTAACCAACATAAGACTGAAATAGCGGAAGGCTGAAATATCTGTAACCGGTCATATATCACGGCGGGAATCTCGGCACTTATCAATAGGGAACCGGCAAATCAGCAAACCAGGAGAGTTTTACCTCTTATAGAATTGTACCTAAAATAAAACTCTCCTACTATATAAAAGGGGTTTGATTACTTGTAAAATATATTGTAACACGCATTCAAAAGCAATATATTATTATTCTCGTCAAGTTCTTGTTATTCTGTTGCTGTTTCTGTTCTGATATCAGAAAAAATATTTTTGGCTCGAGGGTGGCAAACCTTCAACATGAAGACTGTTCAACTTGTGTGGTTAGCATTTACTTTTCTATTACTTATTTCAATTGCAATCTGATTTGTCGTTTAGTATCAAATTAAATCACGTATCCTTAAAATCTCTTATAAATTTAATTGTTATCCGATTTTGAGGGTAAACATAATAATTTTAATTTATTTACTAAATTGGGGAGAAGCATTCCGATATATAAAATTGTCTGAACCGCTATAAACAAAAGAAGAAATTAAAAGTCTTGAAGATGCAGCTAAACAGAAAAGAAGCTATGTTTGAGAAAATTTATAAAAAGAAAGTAAAATACGTATTAGCCAATCCCAACTATCATAATTCTCGCCAGTCCATAGTGTTGACTCCACAACTGTCGTTTTCTTTCTTTTGAGCTGTGCAGAGTCTTTGCAGACCATGTTCACACTATCTGATGTTATACTTGTCCTACTTACGAGCGTTATTCCTTGTTATTGCATCACGTACTACGACAATTTTTGGGAAAATAATGACATTTTTAAGATTTAAAATAAAAAAAAATAATTAAATATTCCATGAAATTACTACTCCCGTCGGCCTTCGTCCAGTTTTAACTGTTATTTTAGCTCTTTCACGTTCATAAGAAAAATAATAAATATAAGGTATAATTTATTAAATTAATTCTATTAAATGCTTTTTGAAAATCGAATAGTATTAAAGAGAACTATTACTACTTTAATATTAATATTAATGATAATCGGAAAGAATTAACAAATTTAATCTGATAATTATTTTGGAACAATTTCATTGAGCTAAGGCAAAAGTTAAAATAGGACAAAGAAAGTATGTACTTTCAATATTGGCAACCTCAGTGGATTTAGACAAATGTCTAAGCATCTAATCTATGTCACGTGTCAGAAATTCAAGGAGTTCATCGAGTTATTTTACTTCTTTAAAACCTATATAGGTCTAATTACAACTAGACTAGTAAACGTGGTTATTTCCAATTTGTTAGAAGTATTGTCTTTTAAGCAATGATGCTATTGCTAGAAAAGAAGGAAAAAACGAAAAAGGCAAATAATTACTCCATCTATTTAAAAGTCATATCACACTTTTTGTTTTCCGAGATTGAATGTTTTTGATTTTGATCGTGAATTAGAATATATAATCTTTAAGTTTTTCGAAAAACTTTTTGCATGTTCGAAACAACATAAAAAATACTATAAATAACAATAATTAATAATTTTAAAGTACTTAAAAGACATAAAAAGATTGAGATCAAATAATAATTCATTTGACACTCTGAAATTTCAACATCACATAAATTCATTTATTTTTAGGAATGTATCTAAGTTGCTCGGATTCGGGTATAAGTGTCCGATACGGGTGTGGATCTAGAGGTGATCCTTCATGATCTAAATTTAAAGATTCGGGGGTACGGATCCAGGTACGGATACGGGTGCGGGGATTCGACTAAAAATAATTCAATTATTTAAAAATAGAGTTATAAAAATATGTCTAAATTATGAGACATTATGTGAAAAACTTACAAGATATTTTGAGAAGGAGAAAATATTGAACAAGAGTAGAATTTTAGAAGGAGATAAAAGAAAAATGACTGATATAGAAATTTATATATACAAGGTATTCCATTTTCTTCCATATCATCCTAACTTTTGATTTGTTTTCAAAAATCATTGTATCTGTTTCAAATTTCTCTGTCAATTTTGATCAAAGTACCCAAAATCAATTGACCAAATCCGATACGGATGCGACACTGAAAGTGAAGAGTAGGAATGTATTGATTGATCCCATAAGCGGGAGTGCGGAACCAAACAAGATGCTGCCTAACGCAAACCCTGTATTTCCTTTAGAAAATCTTGTAATTATTGTAGAGCAGCTAATAAGGAATTCTTAATCAGAAAGAATTCGGTTCAGAAACTCAAATGATCAGAAGTACCGAATAAGATTATGTTATTCCTATTTTGGCGTCTTAAAAACCTTTCCATGAGTTCCATCATTTATGTTACTGAGCTATTAAGTCTTACTGTAGGTTTGTATCCAGCTAACTAGTAGGATATATGTTCTTCATCCAAAGCTAATAGCACTTTACATAGTAACATTATCATGTGCCTACTTCTCTGAAATCAAAAAAATGCCACTTTTTCCATCACAAAAGCTTGTTGTATTAGAGTTAGAAGCATTAGGTCTAAAAAAAATGATTTCGAATAAATTTGCAGATTAGATAAATTATACCAAGATATTATTACAAAAGTAATAGTATAATTTTAGCTTATAATTTTCAATCAAACACTAAATAAATTTATATAGGGATAGCACATCTAATCCCTTGAACCAAATAGCTCCTTAATCTTTTGTTATCAATACCTACAAAAACTCCAAAAATAAAAATTTAAATAGTCGTTCACCCAACAACTTAGCTAGCGTTTGGCCATAGATTTCCAAATTTGTTCTGAAAAATCTGATTTGAGTGAAGTTTGGTTTGAAGATGAAAATGCGTTTGACCATCAGTTTTCAAAATATATTTTCCAAATTTATTTTGGAAAACACGAAATATGACTTATACCCACAAGTTTTAAAAGTATCACAAATACCCAACAGTACCATTATCAATAACAATCATTATATTATCGCAAACCATAGTCCTGAACATAAATAAATTTGATACAAAATTATCATTTTTGTAATGAATTATATGATACACTATCAGATGATCGAGAAGACGAAGCAACATTGTTACAAAATAACAAATGATGGACTCTTTTATAAAATACAAAAGTTTGGGGTAATTTTTAAAAAATATAATAGTGATATTTTGGACCAAAACCAGCTGATTTTGGGATTTGAGATTTGGCATTTAGGATTTTGCCAAAATGTAGGCAAAATCTATGGCCAAACATGTGTTTGCCAAATAAAACCCAAATTTATTTTTTCAAAATCTACGGCCAAACAGGTCCTTAAACTAAAAATAAACAGACGTATATATAAAATAGTTTGACTCGACACAGAGTTTAAGAAAAAAAAAGACTTTTGAAACTTGTGATCTTAAAAGTTTAAGGGGTAAAAGTTTTGTGAGACCATGATATTTGTGTGGTTATAAAAATTTCTAATGAAGAGTTTAAAGTTGAATTATTTCTAATTGTAGAAATATGTCATTCTTTTTGGAACGAACTAATAAGAAAAGTATGTCATCTAAATTAAAATATAGAAAATATATGTAGAATTTATATATATTATATAAATAATTATATATAAATAATATATAATTTATGTATATCAACTAAAAAAGTAAATAATGAATCTGATTGGCTATTTAGATAAATATTTCAAAAAGAAAAACTTAGCGTAGGTCATGCACGCGTTATACTGCACGTGGGAAGGTGAAGGAAACTTCTGGTCCTCGAAAGACCGAACCAAATTAAATGTTGTAAGCAAGTAAGTGAATGTGTTGGGGTCAATTGTTTTTTTGTTATTTTATAAATTTATTTTTAGTTTTATGATTTTTTTTTTTTTTTTTAC